AGTAGGCAGAATCTCAAACCAGCATCTTCTTTAGGATACACATAGTAATAACCTAGGCAGGTTGCTGTCTGAGTCACTGACGACTACAGTAAACCTCATACAAAATCTCCTTTACTAATAGGATGCTTCAATGATGGTCTGACTGACATATCCTGGAAGGATGTCCATTTCTATCTGCCCAGAGGCATGGAGGGTTTGTTTTGACAATAGTCTTACCTTGCTGGAGTCTATCTACCTACATCGTTGCCTCAGTGAACTACAGCCACACAGAAGGACTGCTTGAAAGAAAAAAACAGTAATGTGGGGATGGCTGAGTTTCCCTTTGCCTAAATGAAGTATTAGCAATGTTCTCATAACTGTGGCATTCAGGTAGCCTTTACAGCAGTGTGCTGCAAAAAGATCCACAAACATGAATTAATCTCATGACACCCCACAGGGCAGGCAGAGCAGCTCCACCTCATAGCTGAATGGCAGGGACAGACCACAGCAACAATGAAAGGCATTTGGAAGAAACTGAGCTCAGTACAATCTCAGAAGCTAGACTCAACCAATCCCTTTGGAAATTTAACCATAAACCTTAATAAGTTCACATCTTTGGGCTTAATAATTCTGTTTCTGGTGTTTTATCCTAATATACAGAAGGAAATAACCCAATATACAGAAGAATTTTTTGCACAAAAGTGTTCATCAAAGCATTATTTATATGGAGAAAAACTGCAATATCCAAAAATAAGAGAATATTTTTAAAATAAAAGAACACGTACATAAAAGAATACTATGAAGCAATTTTAAATCATATTTAAAAGAAAATGCTCTGGTTATATTTTGCTTGCTTGTTTGCTTTGTTGGACAAAGACAAAGAGGGTAGGATTGAAGGTGGGAGATTGGAGTGGGTAGGGCAGGGGAAAGTTGTGACAGGAAAATGGAGACAACTGTACTTGGACAATAATAAAAAATAAAGTAAAATGTATGTCTATGGGAAAAAGTAAATAAAATAAACACTGGGAAAAAATAAAATGCTCATAAATATTTAAAAGGAAATGATCAGGTTATAAAATTGAATATATAGTATTAACACAGTTCTGTAAAGGAAAGAATTTACACATGAAAAATATTGAAAGGACTCAGGTCAAAATGTTAATAGTGCAAAGCTTCATATGGCAAGACAGTATGGGTAATTGTTGCATAAGGAACCTTGCTCATTGTAAGAAAATTTGGAAAGCACATAAAAGGAAAAATTAAGTATTTTTGTTACAAAATAGTATGTAAATTATAAATCATTTCTAAATTACGTGTACTGAGAAAATTAAATACAATGTATAAATTCTTTTATGTAACAATTAACCTAATAAAATCATAATTGAGAAGTTGAATTTGCAATATGTATCCATGTGGGTATATCTCACAGAGGAAGCAAGACTTAAGAGGGGACTTCTAACCACACGGTGGGCCAGCAGTGTCTTGGGGAAAGGGACCTTCCACCCATCATGGTAATTTCATGCACTCCAAACAAGCAGTGTGCTTACCAGACAAACACAGCTTCACACAGGTCTCCCAGCCTTCCCTCCCAGCCAGGCTGCAGTCCTAATAAGTCCTTATTAAATATGAATCTTGCCCACCATGAGAACTAAAGAACTAAGACATGAGAACTAAACCCACCATGAGAACTAAAACATAAAATTTAAATTGACAAGTTTGTTTAAGGGTAGGTATGATTAACTGTATAGTAACATTTTTGTCTTGCCCTAAAACAAGATTTAAAGCCAAGGAAAAATGCCTTAATCCCTTAATCATTTAAGATATCTAAACTAAGCCCCTTTTCCACTAGTCTAGAAAATGAGCAAAATCAGTCTGTCTTCAATTCCAGAAACTAAAATGTTAGCATCTTTAGTTGCCCTGGAGTAAGAAAAGACTATAGTCAAAAAACATACATACCGCAAACCAACTAAAGGGGTGGGCACAGCCTCCTACTCACCTCCATCTAAGGCTACAGTTTTAGCTAGCTGCTTGGGCAGGACAGAGGGTCAGCTCTTTCATCCTACATCATAAGTAACTTTTATCAACTATGTGGGCAAAGAAAGATGAGAAGAGCAGGCAAAGAATAAAACTGGTGAGATGAGCAGAGTCCACCAGGACCTACCTCCAGAGAAGACTTGGTACTTCTAACTCCTTTATTTTACCACTGGTTATTTCCTAGAGATATTGGGAAGTTAAAACGATTGACCCACAGGCACTGTAGGTACTGTGCCCAGCTCTGATAACTCACATTCAATACTTGACAGTTTCCTTAAGAATGGGCACATCAGTTAATTCAATCATCCCGCTTGCAGGAATAGGATAAGTCTGTTCTTTTTCTCAAGAACTGACTCTCCCAACCCATCCCTCTCTTCTAAATACCACTCTCCATACAGTGCTGGCTCTCAGAGCTTCCCAGACTTTTATGTGCACTAAGTACCTGGGATCTTGTTAGGATGCAGGTCCTGATTTAGCAGGGCTAGATGGTACAGAGACCAATTAAATCCCAATCTCTGAGGGTGAGACCCAGGCAGTGGTTAAGGCTCCCTAGATGACCCCCATGTGCACTTGAAGTCACACATAGTGCTAGAGGATTTGGAAAGGTTCAATATAATTCCTGGCTACTCTGAATGTGGCCCCGTGCATCAGCAACACCAGCACACTAACAGCAGCATCAGAGTTGTGACAGAGGTAACACAGATAAGCATACAGTAAATTCTCTAAAATACTACCCATGGTTATCATTTTACTACTAGTAGTATGATTATTATTTAGATAGGCTGATGCAACTGAGGAGGCCAAATTTGTAAGGAAACTGTGAGTTAAAGAATAATAAGAAAATATGAGTCGGAGGGAGTAGCTTCAAAAAGGTGGCTGAACTAACCTTGTAGTGAGGATTGTATCTATGCCCTGTGCGTAGCCCATGACCCAGGCAGTAATAGCCATAATAACAGCTGCCATTCCTTTGGGCCTTAATTAATGGTGCCAGGCACTATCCTAACTATTGAGAATTCTCCAGGCAGAACCTAGGGGTTTTCATTATTCAGAGCCTATTGAGCCTTCTGACTCAGGCCAGCCTGGGATGCTGATGGAGTGGAGGAATACTTTCCCCCAGGACAGAAAAGTTGCAGAGCACCCCAATGAGTGATGAAGACTGGACACAATGTCTAAGTATGAGCCACAACAGAACAGTGCCAGGCTCAGAAGGGTGAAGAAGCTGTATCTAGAAACTCACCTTTAAGCTAGTCTACATTTTGAACCATGTACCACTCTTCCTCAGGTTATTTTTGTCCAGACTCTCTTCCTTCTCTTTTCTTGCTTCCTCTTCCTCTCAGAACAGCTTCTAACTGCTTATTTCCATGCACTCCCTAGATGCTTCTCCTCCTAGCACTCTTCTGGAAAATGGGGAAGAAGAGCATGGAGAGAGGTACATGTGGCCACTTCACAGAGGTGTTTTATGTCACAAGCCTGCAGCTCACTCTTTGTCCAGAGGGAGAGGTGACATTCTATGAAAGAACAGCTCATGTGACTGAAACAACTGAAGTATACCCATTAAGAGAAGACAGAAGGGCACAGTTTTGAACCAGCCAGGCTGGAAGTCTGAAGATGGTTCTAGAGAACTCAATTTTGTGTGCTCTTTTGAATCTACATTTAAATATCTCTTTCACTCATTTTTCAGTGGGCTATGACCACTCTAGGAGGACCTTTCCAAGCCTCCAGTGTGGAGGCTCCCATGTTACAGTTGCAGAGGCTAAGAGATCTAAGGAGTCTGCTCAAAGGTCTGAGCACAAGGAGCATCGGCAATGGACCAGGCAACCTGGCTCCATACTCTGACCCTACATCTGGAAATAGCTGAAACCTGAAAAGGATCAAGATCTGTGTCCTGTGTCTCATATATGTTGTCTCATTATTCCTCAGAGCAGCATCATGAGAGCTGCACACATGACCATCTTGATTTACAAATGAACAAAGGGAAATGCAGGGGAGCCCAATGACTCTTCAGGTGCAAAGCTCTAGTCAGTGGAGAAGGCAAAGTCCAGTCCAAGTCTGTGTGACTCCCAAATCTAATCCATAAACAACCTCTCTCCAGAGAACTCCAACAACCTAATCTGCTCTTTCCACAAACTGTGAACAGATACAAACATTTAGGATTCACAGGACCAGGGAATATGGTCACTTCTTGTGATTATTCTATCATCTTTCCTTTAAAAACACCAAATCTTTTATGTAAAAATAGTTTCTCTGAATTCCATGGGGCTCTTCAACTTCATAGCTCCCATTTTATAAATGGGAGCCAGATGCCCAGAATAATTAATCAGCTTCCTGGGACGTGAAACAAATCAGACAAAGACCCAGAATCCAAATTCAAAAGCCCCCATGACTTGGGCTATGGCTCTGGGTCACCAAGCAGACTAAGCAGTTCTCTGCAAAATGTACAAACTGGCAGCCAGAGGGTAAATCGCTGTTAAGTAATGCCAGCCTTCTGCATGAGCTCATTTGTAGGAGAAGATCCTCACTGCAAGGTTAGTTCAGCAGAGTTGCCACCTCAACACCATTTGCACATGAATAAATCTGAGGAAGAAAGCTAAAGATGAGGAGGGAGAGGTTACTTGTCAGCAATAACTTTACTCACTTAAAGAGTCTTCCCAGTTCTGAAAAGAAAAGCACATCCCCTAAATATTGCTCTGTGAGTGATAGATTCCTTTAAAGAATAATGACTTGCAAGATATTGTGTGTGCTCTATTACTCAACAAAAGCAGAATCATAAAATGTCAAATGCTTTTTCCAAATTCCTATTTAGAGAGAAAGAAAATATGCTATTATTTTGTCAAAATCAGTCATCGTGGCAGCCTGAGCCCTTGACTCTGTATGGCCTTTAGTTTATAAATGCAAATGTACATTACTTTATACAATTCTTTGACATTTTATTACCTATTAACTAAGAGTTGAAATAAAGGTTTCATTTAAGTGTGGAGAATTCTCACCTGTGAAAGCATTTGTGGCCTGAAAACCAGCTTCCTGCATACTGCTCCCCAGACAAGCCTGTGCTCCAACTCTTAAGCTGTCCTGTCAAGAGGAAACCGCCTGGGCGAAGCCTCAGGTCACTTCCATTTTAGCTTGTCAGAGTCCATTGCTTTGCCCCGTCCAGATTTTGGTAGCATCTGATGCCCACCTGCCCTGTTCCCACAGAGCAGGCTGTACCTGGGACAGCACCCAGTCCAGCAGCGTGCACAATTAGGGCACACAGTCACGTCAGCCATCCAGCCAGAGGGTAGAGGCCATCGTAAGCCAGGAGTGCCAGTAGCTGTCCTGCTAAGACCTGCTTTCCCACCTTAGAGCGAGGGCCTCCTCAGTGGCACGGCAGCCAGCATCCTTCACAGCTCTCAGCTGCTCCAGTGGAGCTCGGTATGGTCTGATCTGCTGCTCTCTGTGCTTTACCTCTTCCCTTGCTGAAATTAAAAAGAAAGAGATCACTTTCCTAATTACCTGTAGGAACCTTAAATTTAGTAGACCCACGGAAGCCAAAAAGGAAAAAAAACACACACACACACACAGCAGTGCTCATGACCTCACGGTAGGCACTGGGACAGCTCTGGGGAAGGGGTAGCTGCAACCCCTTTTCCTGAAAGCCTGCGAAAGGGTGGGAGGACTGGACAAGACAATGCAGCACTCGCTGCTCCTATCCTCTTTAAGAACAGCTACAAAGGTCATATAACCTTTGACCAATATCCTTCCTCAGGTTACAGATAGTTCACAGACACCCTAAAGAAGCCCACTTCCCAAACTCATTCCTGAGGTCTTAGAAATGGGGTCTGAGGTTCAGATCCACTGCCTCCAGCACTCTAGAAAAAGCTAGGGTTGAAGGGTTTTAAAAAGTGACTCTTAAGAGGGGAAACAAAGGATCATATTAATTTTTTAAAAAGAATGTGAAGGAAAAGCAAATTTAATCTAAAAACTTTTATATATATATATATTACATAATAATAACACTTTACAAAATACTTTCAGATATTTCAATGTTGTTATATTACACAAGAAGTAACATTAACAATAAGAATGTCAGAAGTGCAAAGGATCAGACTTTTAAAATGGAATCACAAATGTGAATCTCTAGTATTAGAGAAATACTAATACTAATACCTTTTTTCATTACCACTTCATTTTAATAAATTTATAACCAATTTTTATAAAATATAGCCTTAATCCTTTTTTTCATCATCAAACTAGAAAACAGAAAAGGAATTTAAGGAAACAGCACATAACAGAAAGGAATCCTCTATGAAAATCCTCTAATTGTTGTAAATATAAAATAAGATAATAAAGTAAAACATTACTAATACAGACTATTAAGAAGACTTTATGTATTAATGAAGCACTTTAATTATATTAAGAAGCTCAATTGTGGGCAGCGAAAAGGAAAGGAAAGGAAGGTAAAGGGAAAGTCAAGGAACATATAGCAAGGACTCATGGACAAAACCAAAGGGGAAGAGCTGAGAGAGGGAAGGAGGGAGCGGGCAAGGGAAAGTGGTGGGGGGTAGGCAGAGACAAATGTATTTGAAAAAATAAATTAAAATAAAATTTAAAAAAAAGAAGCTCAATTGTATTACTTTCACACACATGCAGTAAAAATCTCAGTTAATAAGGTATAGCCAGTAGGACTCCTTAAGTTTGATGAATAGGTAAAAACTTTATTTTAATTATAAATTGTTTATGTGCATGGTGATTTTGAGCTACTTTGAAAATGTGGGAAAGTGTTTTTTTCTCTGAATTTAAACATTCCATATAAAATGACAAACACACAGAGTATCAGCATCCCGAAGACCTGCACCAACTTCTAAAGTAAACTAATCACATGCATGATAATTAACAATTTTAGGAAATGGAATTATCAGATAAAAACAATAGCCCACCTGGCCTAAAATCTTTTATTTTCTTTGCCATTTTCCATGATTTTTTAACACAAAAAAATGCTAGACTTTATCTGTTCTCTTCTTTTGCACTCAGAGACCAACTGAGCGTGGTGATGTTTTTGTTGTTTTTTTGTGGGGTTTTTGTTTATATTATTTTGTTTCATTGCAAAAGGTATGCAACCTCACATTTTAAGGAATCAAGCTATCTTATATAATATTGCAAATGGCTATGGGAAAGATTGAGGTAGATGTGCATAGAAATAGAAGAAACAACACACTTCTTTTCTTTTACTGTTATTATCACACTCACCAATTCTTAACTTTACTTCTGAAATAGGGGTATGGTGACAGGTGTAAAACAATTCATTTTGAGGTCCCAAGACACAGTCTCAGCATGATGTCTGCAGTTCCCAAGAAAGGATGGAGGGACACAACTGTGTTATCTCATTAATGGATAACTTGTATGTTCTTACATACACTCTGAGTTTCCTTACATGCAATTTTCAAGTTACAATGAAACTATAAGGGCTATTGATATTTTCTTCCTAACCACTAACAACACACATAAGATACACTTTCTAAAACTACATAAGAAAGAGGTAGAAAGTCTCCAGAACCTGTAGTTTTTGTTCTATTCAGTGAGGGACCCAGCTATCAAGAAACCCAGTCATGCTCAGTAAAAAAGTGACATATGACCTGGCAGTCTGGGGATCAGAGATCTACTTTCACAGCTTAATAATCCACCAAGAATCAGCAAAAAGGCAGAGCAGCTGACAAATAGTGTCCCATCTGCTTGTCCTTCCTATCTTCCACTCTTCAACAACCCTCCTCAGAGATGCCTCCTAGATCATCTCCCAGACTAAATTTAGAGCCAGATAACTGGGCTTCCCAGAACTTGCCATAGTTGTGGCTGCATGTAGGAGTCATGATTCCTTAGCACCCATCTCTCCCACTAGACTTTAAGCATCACGAGGAAAAGGACAGTGACTGGCTGAATCTCCATTGTCCCTCAGCACCTAAGATGCTGCAAGGGCTTTTCCTACCACCCATCTAGGTCAAGATGAGACAGTGATCATGAGCACTGATTCCTACTGCATTCGTGCTTCACAGAATGTCCCGTCCAGTGAGGGCCTACAGAGGTCATTGCTTTAAATCCTTTCAGACCACAGAGAGGAAAGTCTGACTCCACAGAGCTTAAACAACTTAGCCCCAAGAAGCAATGTGCTGCAGAGTCAGGACTAACACCCGAGTGCCTTGTCCCTGCAACCACTGTTCTTCCCATGCTAGTTCTGAATCACAGGTAGTTCCAAGAGCTGAAATGCCTTGAAGCCTAATAGTACCCAAATCACAAAAATCAAGGGAGTCAAGGCAGGAAAGAGAGAGAAAGCACAAAGAAAGAGGCAACTTATCCAAGACACAAGGTCACAGATTAATCCTGAGCCAAATATTCAAGAGCCTCCCTCTACAGCAAGCACACTATCATCATTCTCTCATTAACCACACACAGACACACACACTCACACACACATTCTGTTGGTACTGGGAAGATGGGCAGAGCTAACCAGGAAATAATTAATTCAATATTACACTTGAAAAATGTCATTAAGTCCCTCCCATAACAGAGCAACAGTTACTAAGAAAATAGAGCACACCAAAGGGAAAAACACCCTCAACAAGAAAGGGACATTTATTAAAAAACATCATGAACACCCACAAAACCTAACCAAATAAGTTGTGGAATATGTTGAGTTTACCACTTGCTCATAAAAAGTTTTATGAAATGCAGTCCTCCTAGGAATCATTGGGGGATGAAAACTTCACTGCATTCAACAGATCAGAGGTTTCACAAAAGTACACCCTATAAAAATAGACATATTGCAATTCAGGGAACATTAGGGTGACACATAGCACAGAGGCCAAAACCCAGCAGAGAAGTAAAACAATCTTTTTTAAAAATCTAGTAACATTCAAAAAATTTGTAGTGCAGAAAGAATAAACACTGCAATGTCATTTTTTATTTCCACTCACTATGGAGAGACTACTTCACTGGCTGAGTGTTGGTTTCCCAGGTGATGGCTAAACTGAGCAGCCTGAAGGGCTCCAGGTCATAGAGACTCTGGGAGCTGAGGTCCAGAGCCTGTGTCTGACAGAGCCATCATTGCTCTACCCACAAGAGAAGGACCAGGGAGAAAGGAACGCTGGCAAGACAAAGAGATAGTTTAAACCTTGACAAATTGAGGCCCTGTTGTAAAATCCAAAACATAAATATTAATACATTAAGACTTGTACTGCACTGCTTACGAAAAAAAAATTTAAATTTCAACTATGGGCTGGTTCATTTACATTCAAAGCAACAATGACCAGATGTGAGAAAAAGTGGAAAAAGAAACCCAAGGATCTATTTCTGACCAGAGCTTGAATCAGGTGTCACTCTGGAAGAGAGGCATCACACTTCTCTCTACATGAGTTTCTCCTAGGGATGTGCAACCTTTGGCATCTCTAAACTACACTGGAAGGAGAAGAGTTGTCTTGGGTCACACCTTAAATACATTGCAACACATAATCACAAAGAAATCTCAAAATGTTTTAAGTAAATTTATGATTCTGTGTTGGGCCACAGTGCAGGTTGGAGGCCCGTGGTAGTCCTTGGCAAGTGCCAGTCAGCCTAAAGATTTCCTAACAGCAAAAAAGCAGGACTTTAGAAATACATGGCCTTGCCTGTATGACAGCAGTGAGGCAGACAGCACTGAGCAGGGCATCTCTCCCCTGGTCCTGGGACCATTTAGAGGACTTGATCAAGCCCTTCAGCCCATCAGGCTCCCATTTCCTCATTTGTAAAGTGAGAAGGGGGACCCAAGGTGCCTTTTGATCTGAGTGTGTCCCTGTGGCAATGTGTCTCTGATCAAGGAAGATGAGACAAATGTGTATGAAAAGGATATGGCAAACAAACACAGAAAATCATCCATACATAACCACAAGTCTGAGAACAAGTAAGAGAAATAGGCTGCCCGTAACCGGGGGAGGTTGAGTTGGGAAGCTACAGATTCTTCAGGTGACTTTTAATTTCTGCAATTCAGTGTGTAAAACAATTTGTAGCTTTTAAAATGCAACCTGAAAGCCATCCTAGCGCTGAGTAGCTTGATGGAGTCCAGTGACTTAGTTCACCATTTCAGGAAAGCAAATTCAAAAATCTAACACACTTGTTTCAAATACACACACAAACTACAAACAGGAAAAAGTGGCAATCATACTAGAACATACTTTAAAAAGTCACCTTGTCAAATATGACAATAAATCCTGAAGGATCCAGAGTCTGAGGTTCTACTCATACCAAGTTGGAGAAAGTTTCCCCAAAAAATAATTAAGTAGGATAACTGTTTCTAATGAATTAGTAAGTCTCTAATTGTCTCTTTACACTAGCTAGAAGCAAAGGAAGCAATGGAGACCATCTGTCCCACCCCTTCATTTGATGGAAGAGGACAACGAGGCTCAGGGAGGAGAGGGAACATGCTGAAGGTGACTGTGGTGATGAAGGCAGAGCTGGGACTAGAACCAGGTGTCAGCCTAGGCCCAAGCTCAAAGTTCTCCCATACATGCAAATTAACTAAAGGAAGAAGCTGAGAAAGGGGTTCAGTGTACCTCTGTACTGTTAGTGGGACTCACAGAAGACTATTTTCACTTCCCCAAGCCCAGATTGGGCCATGCCCACAACACCAACATGCCCAAAATCCAAGGAAAAGTCAATGGCTTGGCACAGGGTCACACAGTCCTCAGGTGAACGTGCACTACAGTGTTCCTGATCTAGTCTGAGCGCTTCATGGTCACCTCAACTGTGGACACCAGCTGAGCAGAGGGCAGCTGCATGACAAATGGTTACCTCTCAGAGCCTGTTGTGACAGACTGGCTACACCAGGAACTGGGCTCTGAGATGCTCCACACCTAGCACTCTCCCTCACCCCAGCTTTCCTCAGGTAAAATCAGCTTACAATGAGCAGGACAGGCAAAGAAAAAGGTAGTCATGCAGAGAACTAACAAGTGTGAGCAAAAAGAGAAGGGAGCTGTCTTCTCATTCTCTGTTGACAGAGAAGAGAATATGGGTTGATGAACTATGTATATGAAACAATTTTTGTCCTCCTTGCACACTTCCCCCCATCACCTATCAATGTCTGTTCTGCCAACCCCTGCACTTACAGTTCCTCATGCCAAGTCATTCCCTGCCTCAACTAACAGCAGGCTTACATTGGATACCTGGGCCTTACCCATGACTTTCTCTGCTTTCTGTCATTAAAAATGCTCCAGAACCTGCATCTTCTCATTTAGTACTTCAACTATTTGTGAGATTGTTACTCTAGCCAGGCATTATTTTAGGTGCCGGGAGACAGCAGTGAGCAAAACAAACCAAGCTCCTGTCCCCATGGCGCCTATCTTATCTCTGTCTATGGAGGTGTTTCCTAACAAAAACCTTTTCTTGCTAATCTTTGTATCCTTGACATTCATGATGGGGACCAGGATACAGGAGGTTCCCAACATATGCTGGCTATATACACTGAATCGCATCTGAGCTTAAGCTGGGTCACCTCCTTGTCACTGTACTTACCTCTGTCCTGCACCAGTTGCACAAAGTACCAAGGGCACAGTACATAAGGAGGCTGCTGGGCACAGGCGCTCAAACCCTGGAGGGCACTTCACATGGGAAATGCCAGCTGGTACTCTGCAGCACAGGGATTGACAGCCCCTCCACCATTGAAAACAGATTCAAATGAGAGTTTTGCACACAAACAAGCCAGAGGACAAAAGGCTCTGAGTCAGACTACCCTGGGTTTACTTCACTCTAGGCTATGTGTGATTTTGGCAGTTACTTAACCTCTATAAGCCTCAGTTTCTTCATCCATAAAATAGAAGTAACAAGGGCATCAACTTCATAGAATTATGGTGCATTTAATGAGGAAATATATATATAAAGCATTAGTCTCTAATAAATGCAAAAGAAATAATAGTGGCTACAATGATTACAACTCACCTCAGCAGACCACAGGTAAATTATGTCTTTGAGAATATGCACCATCCACCTTCTTTCACTTTTTATCTGACCTTATTGGATACATGTCATTTTATCTCGTAATTCCTCAGTTGATTTGTGGTTTTTTTTTTTGAATTCTCAGTAGATAAAAATCATTCTATGTCAGCTAAAATGAATAGCAAAGAGAAACAGGGAAAAGGATACAAAACTAGAGAAGATGTATGGATGAAATATTTGGTATGAAATGCAGTAGAAAAAAATAAAATGACAAAAAGAAAACCTTGCCTTTAAAAGGAAAAAAAGCCACTTGATATTAAATTTTTTTTTTGTTTTCAAATTGAGATGTCAAATTTAAAAAACAACAATAGATAGTAATGAATAAATTTAGCCAAGGTTCTACATTCTCTTGCCAGAAAATAATAATGCAAGATCTAGCTTTCTTCCATCCTTTTCCATTTGGTTTGTTTCCTTGGTAAAATACTAACTTTTGAAGACCTTTACATGTCCACTCCCTTTTTTAAAATTTAATTGTTCAAATACATTTGTCTCCACCTTCCCACCACCACTTTCCCCTGCCCCCTCCCCCACCTCCCTCCCACATCCTTTCCCACTTTGGTTTTGTCCATGGGTCCATTATGCATGTTCCTTGACTTGACCCTTCCCTTCCCCTTCCCCGGCATCCCCCTTCCCTCTTGATTCTGTTGGTTTCTTTTTTCTTTCAATATTGCTAGTTATAGATTTCTTGCTTATTTTTTTTTTTTGTTTAGGTTCCACTTATAGGTGAGATCATATGGTATTTGTCTTTCACCACCTGGCTTATTTCACTTCACAAAATGCTCTCCAGTTCCATCCATGCTGTCATGAAAGGCAGTAGCTCTTTCTTTCTTTCTCCTGCATCTTATTCCATTGTGTAAATGTACCAAAGTTTTTGATCCATTCACTTACTGATGGGCACTTAGGTTGCTTCCAGCACTTGGCTATTATAAATTGTGCTGCTATGAACATTGGGGTGCATAGGTTCTTCTGAATTGGTGTTTTGGGATTCTTAGGGTATAATCCCAGCAATGTAATTGCTGGGTCAAAAGACAGTTCCACTTTTAGATTTCAGAGGAAATTACAAACTGTTTTCCACAGTGGTTTCCCCAGTCTACACTCCCACCAACAGTGTACTAGGGTTCCCTTTTCTACACAACTTCGCCAGCACTTGTTTGTTGATTTGTTTGTGATGGTCATTCTGACTGGTGTGAGGTGGTATCTCATTGTGGTTTTAATTTGTATTTTTCTAATGGCTAGTGATGCTGAGCATCCTTTCATATGTCAATGGGCCCTCTGTATCTCTTCCTTGGAGAAGCGTCTGTCCAGGTCTTTTGCCCATTTTTTAATTGGATTGTTTGTCTTCCTGGAGTCGAGTCTTGTGAGTTCTTTATATATTTTGGAGATCAAACCCCTGTCTGATGTATCATTGGCAAATATATTTTCCCTTATGGTTGGTTCCCTTTTCATTTTGCTGATGTTTTCTTTAGCCATGCTGAAGCTTCTTATTTTGATGAGGTCCCACTTGTTTATTCTTTCCTTTATGTCCCTTGCTTTAGCGGACATATCAGTGAAAATATTGCTGCATGGGATAACTGAGTTTCCTGCCTATGTTCTCCCCTAGGACTTTTATGGTGTTGCAACTTATATTTACATCTTTTATCCACCTAGAGTTTATTTTTGTGTATGGTGTCAATTGGTTGATCAAATTTCAATTTTTTGCATGTAGCTGTCCAGCTTGCCCAACACCATTTGTTGAAGAGGCCATTTTTACTCCAATTTATGCTTCTTCCCCCTTTGTCAAACATTAATTGACCATAGAGAAATGGTTTTATTTCTGGGCTTTCTATTCTGTTCCTTTGATCTAGGTGTATGGTCTTGTGCCAGTACTAGGCTGTTTTGATTACAGTGGCCTTCTAATACAGTTTTATGTCCAGTATTGTGATCCCTCCTGCTTTGTTTTTCCTTCTCAAAATCGCTGCAGCTATTCAGGGTAAAAATATGGAATGCTTCATGAATTTGCGTGTCATTCTTGCACAGGAGCCATGCTAATCTTCTCCGTATCATCCCAATTTTAGTATATGTGCTGCCAAAGTCAGCACTCTCTTACTGAGCTTTCATAAGGCCCCAAGAATGAAACTGCACATAGAGGACACCTACCAACTGCAGTGCTCCTCTACACAACAGGTGATGTTGGAACAGAATCACCAATACTTTAAAGCTAATAAAAAAATGATCAACAATAAAACAACTGATGCTCCCTATTAGAAATGATCTACATGATTTCATCACTTGTATTAGGAAAGATTCCCTAAATGTCTCTTGTTTACAAAGCTCCAGACCAGCTCCACAACTGTGCCTCTTCAGTAAAACACAGGGAACACCTAAATTTTCATTAAGTAGTTCTGATCAGTGGCCAGTAGATACCATTGCTCTATTTAATGTAGGTGCAACTGTGAGTCACACACACACATGCATGCACACAGTTGTTTAGTAATTTGAGTCCTAGCAGGAAGACTCCTTACTAACTAAATATACCTGTAACAATAAAATTTAGAAGTCTTGCTTATCTCTGCAGAGAAAAGGAAGCTCCCATTGTCTACAGAGCAGACAGAGGTACAAATCCATCCCATATCCTCTTAGAACTTAAACTTCTACTCAGCTACTGTGCTGTTTCCCTCAGCTACGGGAACCAGAAGAAGAAGCAATGTATTATACATGCCATCCTAGGAAGATCATAGATTCTATGACTACCTTAGAGAAACTAAAGGTTCTCATATGAGAGCTAAAGACCTCATTTGAGACATACCAAACTGTGGAAACGGAACTCATTTAACTGTGTCAGTTAGTATTGGTGGAACTATTTAATCTACAAAAATCTAAGATAAACATTTCAGCAGATGTTTGAAAAATGTAACACAAAATGGTACTGTCTGAGGTTAGCCCCCGGAATTGCTATCACTAGCAGCAACGAGTCTGAGTGTGATAAATGAGCTCTCAGTGGTACAGTTACATGCAATGATGAACATTACATCTGTGTGAGGCCCCAGCACACCAAGCCACTTGACAAGCAGTGCCTGACTCTACATATATTAGGGAAACACTGATAGAGTTTCACGTCTTCCTGAACGGCTGGATGAGGCAGGGCCACAAAAGTGCATCTGTCCTGAAGAGCAGCTGTTGAAAGGAGCAGAGGATTTGGGGGAAAGGCTGCCTGGCATTCACTAATGGGACCGCACAAACCCCATTTCTGTGTGTTCTGGAGGCCTCCAGCCAAGCAGGAAGAGTTCATTAGACCAATTTCTGCTGCCTTGGTAACAAAGGCTATGCATGTGCTTTTATACAAGAAAAGCAAACTAGTGCTTATTCATGGGGGAAAGACACTACAGACAGGTAGTGGGTGTCCCATCAAGCAGCCCAGACAGTGATGAAAACATGCCCACCTAGAATATAGAACTGGTCCCTCCAAAAGCCTAGAGTATTAATCAGAAGCTGTCTCTTACAGTACCTAAGGCCATGTGCTTGTGAGTGTGCTCAGCTTTAGAAGCACTTATCAGTGGTTACAGAAGCTATCTCATTCCACATAGTGTGCTAAAGCCAGCCTCAGTATCCTTGATGCTGAGTGAATCAGCCTGACATGTCCACAGATCCACTCAGCATCAGATCTTGACAAGAGGATGCCTGGGACAACTGCAGGGCTCTGGCAGCAAGAGGAAATTTTAATCACCAAATCTGGAGCCTAAAATCACTGTTCATGTTCCCATCACTTGCCAAAGTTAGGTGTACAGTATCTGTGAGGCCTTTCATCATCTAAGGATGTCATGGACTTCATCAGCCTGCCAGGCAACTTTCTCTGTATTCAAAACAGCACCTTCTTTCAGTTCTTCCTTTTTCCCTCTCAAAGTCTAGTCCTTATTTATCCTCTTTCCCACTGGAGTCAGCAAGAAGGAACTGACTCATTCTAACCCAGCTCTGCAGTGGAGCCCTCAGCAAGCTTCTTCAGATACAGGCCCTAAGGACTGGAGGGAGGCACAGGTGAAAGGAAAGGGAAGGGAAGGCAGGAGGAGGCTTTAGCACAATGTGTAACACCACCTCCCCATTCCCCAACTTCCCACAGTCCAGCATAGTAAAGTTCCCTCAAACATCAAAAACAAGGATTTGATTTTGTTCCTCACAGGAAAGCAAGCTATTGATGCTTTTCACCAAAATACTCTCTCTAGACCAGTGTTCCCCAAATATCCCAAAACGAAGCATGTAATCATCAAAACTAAATTTTGCCCAACTTGACTTAAAAATAAATACATTTAAAATAGGAAAATACCCATATATAAATACACCAGACTGATGTCAAAGAGCAAGGAGCTGCCTGTTTATTTGGGCTGGCTGGTAGGAGAAAATGATAAATAAGCTCCCATTAGGTAACAAATTATTGCAGCCAGGGACTCTGTAATCCCCCCTGGCACTGGAACAGATGTTCACTCCATGGAGGGTTGTGCTCAGAGCAGACAGCATGGCTCTGGGGTCAAACAACACTTAGAATGACAATTCTACTAAGCAGTCCTCCACACTGCACTCAAGCAGATTACACAGCCTCTCTGAGCTTCAGTCTCTTCATCTGTCAAATGAAGAATTAATATAATTGTTAGACAGTGGTTATGACTAAATGAGAAAATACATGAAAGATATGTACAAGACATCAGAATATCTAACAGGCCCTCAATAAATGGTTAAGGCGGTAATGAGGAGCAGGGAAGAGGGCAGGGATGACCTTGTGAGACCCACAGGAGATATATGGAAGGTGTGGTCAGTCCATCAGTTGTAAGAGAAGTGGGGGAAAAGAAAATAAAAAATACAGTATCTCAATGGGACCCAGTGAACACCACTCTGGCAGAACACTCAAAGAGTTAAAACCTAGAGCCTGGTTAGATTAGAATTAAATATTTCCATCTTCAAATAATTACTTAAGTAGGTCAACATCAGGTATGTTTCACTTTTTCCTTACCACAGACAAAACTGGCCCATCAACTAGAGCACCCACCTTACCCCTGCTAAGTTAGCCCCTCTTTCACTCCACCAGGCCCTCATCCCCACACCAACACAGAGAGACAGTCAATATTTACTGCACACACATCAATTGTAGGGATTCCCCACATCAGAGAAATCATTCCTATTGAAGTAACTTATCTCTTCACTTCCTTTGAGTAAAAACATGTTATTATATTCAATAAAACCATACAAGAAATGATAGCTAAAGATGACATTTAAATAACATATGCCAACACCTAAAAATGGCTTTCTGGAAGAAAAGAAAATTGGTATTTTTGAGGATATTTTAAGAGCTCCATTTCCCTCCTCCTTCCCAACCCCTCCCCCTACAGATGAGTCACAGCCACATTCAGAGCCACTGCTGGCCCCTGGCCTAGTGATAAACTTGGGCAAAAGAGGACAAATGCTGTCATTGAAATTTAAAAGCAGTCTAGCTACTCTACTACCATCTTCTTTCCCTTCTGGTTCCCATGGAAACAGACCTCAGATTGCCAAAAACAGGGTAAAGATAGCACCATGCCCAGTTCCCCACCCACTCCCAGCAATCTGTTTCCATGGGAACTGGAAGAGAATGGAATGGAGGCTGGGTAGCTAGACTGTCTGCAAATCTGCATCCCCATCAGCTGGAGATGCAGACAGTGCTGGCACACTGGTCCAGTGGCCTGCAGACCTTCATGGGCTCTTCAGGATTGATATGGCCACTTTTGGATGGAGTCTTGGAGAAAGAGCAGTTCACAGCAGGCTAGACTGGACAAAAGCCAGCTAAGGAATTCCAGACACACACTCAGCAGGTCTTGAATATCCCTTTACCAGCCAGAGGTGATCCCTTTCAAACCAGTAGTTCCCACAACTGGCTGAGTTTTAGGATGACCCCACACCTAGTGGATCAATATCTCAGGCGGCTGGGACCAGGACTCCGTAGTTTTTATCAGCTCCACAGGTGATTCTGACGCTTGGTCATTTGGGGAAACCAATGATCTAGACCAGAGTTTCCCAATGTTTAAGGTGCTCATGGATCCTGTGGGGTCCCTGGTGAAATGCAGATTCCAGTTCAGCTGGTCTGGAGCAGAACCTGAGATTCTGCATTTCTAACCAGCTCCCACAGGCTGCTGGTGCTGCTGGTCCTTGAACCACATCTGAATAGTGAGAATTTAGATTTTGATACATCGTCTAGACTCTAGAACCTTCCCCACAGACCAAAGATAGAGACTACAGCTATTCCCACAGTGACAATTTATTCCCATTTAGTCCACGCATTAGTCCACGCATGAGCCAGAAGACCTTTAAAGCAGACATCTCTGGTGATAGGGGCTGAAAACAAATCAAATCATGATTCATATTACTCTCCCTCTACCTGTTTTCCCTGCCTCCAGAATCCATCTGCATGAATAAGGGAACTGAATACTCAAAAATTATGAATAACCATAGGGGAATGAAACAATTGTGTCCTCCAAATCTGATTTCTCTAAAAAGAGCAAATTCTGCATAGTTGAGGATTAAACAAGTGGTGAAAAATGTGTGAAATATTTAGAATATTTATAAACATAGATGTGTTAGCAAAGAAAAATGGAACTGTCCACATGTCATTTTAAGAAAAATCTGAGAAAATTTTGAAAAACTCTACAATTATTGTAAGGAAATAACTCAGCTAGCCTTAAAATCCCTAGTCTAAAAGAAAATGTAGAATAAAAGAGTGCATATTTTAGCTAAAAGTATACAAAGTAATACAAAAGTAATGTTTATTTCTATACTGAACCACAAAAAACAATTTTAAACTACATGAAATGCCAGTGTGTCATTCAAAAGCAACTCACTGATTTTCTGCTATAAGGAATCTCCATTTTGTTTATATATAAAAGGGACTTATTTCTGTTTGTTTTGTTAAATACATTTTTTATCTCCTTCTTGAAAAAGTGTAACATATTAATCTTTGAAAATTAAAATATGAGCAAAAAATTCAACTTCAGAAATAATCTGATTGTAAAAATGTAAAAGGGAGGAAAATCAATTATTTGATTGAATAATTGTTCAATCAAATAATTTCACACATTTTTCA